CCCCCCCCCTCATTCCTGGCCCCCTTGTCTCCCAGCCCCACCCCTCTGACCTCTCCCCAGGCGTTTTCTCCCGCTCCCTTCCCGGGCTGCTCCTTCCACCTTGGCACCCTGCTCTCTCTCCACCATCCTGACTATGCCTTTTCTTGCAGCCCCGGGACTCAGTCCGTGCCTCAGCAGTTGGGCTCCTGGGGACGCTGGTTCGGCGGGGCCAGCGCTGGCTTCGGGTGGGACTTCATGGCCCCCTTCGGAAGCTGGTGCTGCAGAGTCTCGTTCCACTGCTGTTGCGCCTGCATGACCCTAGCCAAGACACTGCCGAGGTCAGCAGCCCCATGCACACTTCCCTGCCCCTCCTACTGCCCCACTCCAGGTAACAGATCAAGGATACCCGGAAGGACCTAGCAGTCTCCCAGGTTTCTAGTCTTCCCTCAGGCCACTATACTCAATCCCCCTGCCCTGGGTACTTTACCTTCCTCCTAGCCATAACTCCTTCCCTCCAGCTCTTCTACTTTCTGATCCCTAATCCTGCTCCCTTCCCCTATGCCAGAGTTCAGAGTGGACCCTGGCCCGCTGTGACAAGGCTCTTCGCTGGGGCCTACTGGAGGAGATGGTCACTGTGGCCCACTACGACAGCCCAGAGGCTCTAAGCCGTGTCTGCTACCGCCTGGTCAGTAGAGGAAGCACTGTGCTGGTGAGGGAGTGTGGTCAGGTGTCCACTTATTCCAAGATTCTACAGGCCCGAACCCCTCCACCACAGCCAAATCTGGCCACCATGCTCCTGATGGGACAGCATTGGGCTGTGCTGCCCTGCTCTGAGACTCCCCAGGGGACCCCATTTCCTAGCCACATGACCTCCTACCTCCTAACTGTGACCTTATTTAGAAGACTTTCTTGTTTAGAATCCCTTCCTGCTGGGAAGCACAGGCTAAGAGAACACCACAGGGTTAGGCATGGGGAATGGGCACCCTGTACCAGACAGTGAGCAGGCGTGGTGACACTCAGCACCTTGCACAGGTAGGCTTACCCCTCCCGTCCTGGTATGGGCCCTTCTGTTCCCAGGTCCAGCAATACCCGAGCCACATCCCCTGCTTCCTGAGCCAGACCCAGGGCTACCTGAGAAGCCCACAGGATTCCCTACGCAGGGCTGCTACTGTGCTTTTAGGTGAGGCAGTCCTGAGGTGCTAATCCCTCCCTTCTGGGGCACAAGGCTGGAGCTCACAGATTTGCTTTGGTCCAGGATTCCTGGTCTATCATGCGAGCCCTAGGCACGTCGACCAGGATCTGCTGGACTCCCTGTTCCAAGGTGAGAACCCAACATGCCTGAGTGTGGGGTCCTAAAGAGGTGGTGGTGCTAGGGGAGAGTGGAGGGGAGTATGTAGAAGAGGGCCAGGCTAGGGTGCCCCTCCCATCCTTCATTATCTGAGCTGCTGCCCTGCTCAGACCTAGGGCAGCTGCAGAGCGACCCAGAACCTGCAGTGGCTGCGGCAGCACATGAGTCCACACAGCAGGTGGCGCTGCTGGCCCATGCACAGGCCCAACCAAGGCAGCGCCTCCTCCTGCGCCTGGTCTCTCGCAATACCCACTGGGCCAGGCCCACACCGTGCTATGCTGACAGCCCATTCCAGCGCCGGAGCCTTGAAGGCCGGTGGGGCTGC